CCCNCCCCCGACCTTCCACTTTGCGCACCGCGCGCATATCGGCCTGCCCCGCAGCAACATGAATCCTAGAACCACTTCTACATAATGACGCACTCTTTGTCCTTCGAGCCTTTGCCGTTGCCTTCGTCATTGCTGTCGCGATGGAGAACAGAGCCAGGCCCGCCTGGCGCACGCTCCACGGGGTTCGAGCTCTTTAGCCGCTGCGCCGCACGTTTGTCGCCTAGCTCTGATGCGCGACGGTACCATTTGATCGCTCTGTATAGGTCTCGTTGAGCACAGTTACGCCAGTTCGCAGATACGAACGTACTCTGGCAGGTTGGGGTCGGTGCCGATGCCAACCTCAAGGAAGTAGCCGACGGCGTACATCGCCTTGACAAGCCCCGCCTCCGCGGCCTTCTTCGCCCAGAGGAACGCTTCCGTATCCGATTGTGGTAAAACACCTGGTGAGCCGACCAGGTACCACGCTGTTAGGGCAAAGCAAGCATCTCGGTGGCTCTGTTGGGCGGCAATGTTCTATAACGACGTAAGGGAGGATTGTTGTCCTCAGCTGTTAGGAAGCGGGAAATAAAATAGTATAAAATGGACGCACATAGTAGTGAATGGACAACGCCGGGTCCTGTGGACAGCCCATCTTTCCATACTCGTAGCACTCGCCCAGCCTGTACGCGCTCGGCGCATACCCCAACTCTGCCGCCTGAGCAAGTAGCTCCGCCGCGTACTCGTAGTCAACGAAGAGCACGTTGTCGATTCCACGCTCGTGTAACAGCGCGAGTTCGTGTAGCGCATGTGGGAATTCGGCCGTAGCGTGCTCCGCAGACCGCTTTAGCCACTTGACGCCCTCCTTCGGGTTTTTCGAGAGACTCAGTTCACCGTTGAGCTCTGCGATTCCGAGACGATACATCGAGCCAGGGTGTAGCGCGGCCGCAGCTTTACGGTAAAATTGCAACGCCTTCGCGCTCTCACGTCGGCAACCCCACCCATTCTCGCAGCATGTCCCCGCGCGGTAGGCAGCATCGGGGTGTCCATGCTTGGCGGCGAGCACGAAGAGGGGGTACGCGCGGTCAAAGTCCTGCCGGTTCTTGTGCGTCCCAATGCCGTTCGCGTAGCAGTCCGCGAGGAAGTACTGCGATGGCATATGACCTCGATCGGCGTTGCGCTTCAGCAGGGAAGTCGCCTCCCGGATGAGCTCCTCGCGCTTCTCAATCGCCTTCTCCACCTCCATGACGTTTCCTGGCGTCGGTGTCGGTATGGGTAACGTCTTTGAGGCGTCGATCATGAATACCGCAAACTCAAATTGCAAGTCTGGGTCAGATGTCTTCTTGGCATTTGCGCGGTAGAGCTCAAGAGTCTGCCCATGGGAAAGTAGTGCAGCTTGCTTCCCGGGTCGTAGATGCGAGTGGTCGAGGATGGGCTGGGGACCGATGGGCGAAGATGAACGCACGGATTGAGAAGTCAAGACGGGTGGTTCATTGAAGTTGGCTTGCGAGCCAGCGTAAAAATCGTCGCCGTCGGGCGAAAACGATTCAGGTCCGGCGTTGTAATCGTACTGCTGCGGCGGCATGTCTTCGGGTGGGCCTCTCAGACGCGACCGCGAACGTCGTGAAGGCGAGTATTGCCGTGCCTCTGACGCAAATTCCGGCGAGGGCCTGTATTCTGGGTCTACCATCGACTGCGGGCGCGACGACTGTGCGTACATGATGTGTATGTCGGCACACACCTAGCGTAGAAGAGTAAAAAGATAAAGATACAGGGGGTCCTGAGATGAAAGGGGGGACGAAAGGACGGAGGGGAGCGGTATGTGACGTGCTCGTCGTCGGTGGTGATGAGGACGGGAAGTAAGAGCGTTTAAGCGCACAGCTAGCGGGGCTTTCCAAATCTGTTATTGATGGCGGGGTTGACCGCCGATGGCTCCCCGACACTTCATGACCCCGAACACCCCAGACCGTCCAACACAACTAGACAGACATCGTGGTTTGTGAATGAACTTTTGCACGTGGGGTGGAATTTGTGACACTATTTCCGGATAAGCTGAGTGATACAAGGTGCTCTCGCAACAGTCCGCTCGCCTGCTGATCCGCGACAGTATAAAAATGTATATACATGCAAGGACGGATCATCTTTGCATCTAGAAAACGAGCACCAGAATATTTCCCATCAATCCGACGACAATCAATTGCTGTCGTACTACGGTGCCGATGCAACAAGTCAGGTATCACCAGCTCCACGGGACTCTTCCGACGAACGATTGGGTAAATGGACGGCG